TAGGATATTATTATGAACAGGGTTACTCTGCTCCAAAAGATATAGCTCGAGCAAATAATCTTTACAAAGAAGCTGCTAATGATAGAATTTCTGATGCACAATATCGGTACGCTTGTTTATTATATAAAAAAGAAAGTTATGAGCATACTAAATTTTTGCGTTACTTAAGTATAGCAGCCAACAATGAGCATGCTAAGGCTAGTTATTATTTGGAAAAAATTTATTTGAATAGTGAGTGTGGTGTTAAGAAAGATAAGCAATCTGGGTTGAAATATTTGAGATCTGCGGCATTAAGTGATAATAAGGATACAATTGATTTGCTGAATAAAATTAATAAAAAAATTATTTAGTTATATCTTTTTCTTAATATTCAGTTGCTCTTAAAACTGTAACATTGGCAGAAAAATATGTTTATTGTTTAATATATTAAATAAATACTACAATCCAGACAACCTAGTCCTGACAAATAAAATTGATGAAATTCAAATTTCTAATCCTTCTTTAAAAAAAATAGTAAACAAAAAATACTATCTTAAAATGTTAAATCAAAACAAGATAAACACTTTCATATTCTTAAAATTTTTTTAAATCTATTTATAAAAAAGTTATAGTAGGTTAAAGTTATAGTATTTTTATAATTAAATATGAAATTTGGCCACCTTTTGTATATATAAAAAAAAAAGCAAATTTGGCCTTTTTAAACAATTAATTTAATTTTATATATATTAAAAATTTAAAATTTGGCCACTTTATATTTAAAATTTGGCTACTTTATATATAAATATTGGCTAAATTTTCAAATTGGCCTCTTTATATATATAAAAAATAAAATCTAAATTTGGCCACTAAAAATTTTTATTGGTTGTGACTAGGTTGTCTGAACTGTAGCATATAATCTGTGCTCCCGATATCAGTGTTGGCATATGACCTTTATAATATTTATAATGATCATAGATCATAAAAATATATGATATAAATTATGACCTAGAGTTAGGTTAATACGTTATGTAAAAAAGAATTTGCTGAAAATAGAATTAGAGAACTCGAAGAACAACATAAAGAAGATCTTAATTCAAGA